ATGTGGTAAATTAGGTAAAACTTTAGTGGTAAAAACTTGTAGTCAAAATCAACTGAAACTTTATTAAAACAAAATAATAATAATAATAATTGAAGTGATTGAGCCAGTATCACTTTGAACTTAATGTGCTTTTCAAAGTTTCTGCTCACGTGTCGTTTGTGACAGTAGGTCCTTTCATATTATCACCCTCAATACTAAATGTCTGGTTTTAATAAAATCTGCAATACATAAAACAAATATGTCTGTCTGAATAAATCTGCAAATGTTTTGACAGTTAAATGTCATGATGGGTAAAAATCCTTTAAATGTAACCTGTGCTTATGTCTCAGGGGAACAAAAAGAAAAATAAAATATAGCAAAAGATCTTTTGTTGTCTGTAAGCTTACAACAATATGAGCACATTCTTTTATTTTACATACATCTCTGGTTAACAGCTGACCTCTTGAACTGGCCAAATGTGTGCTTTTCAATGTCAACAAGTTCATCCATTTAATTCACCAGCTTCAAACCAGCATGGACTCTGTAGTTTGAAAGATTTTCTGCTAAGATAGATGCTGTGCATATTTGTTGTTGTAAATATGACAAAATTAGCAGGTTTTTTTGGTACTTTAAAATTGGTAAACTGTTCACTAATCCTGACAGATTGAAACTGAAAAACACTGATTTCATGATAGCTATATGCGTTAAAAATAGTTTATTACCTTACAAATCCAACTGATAATGTAAAAAAAAAAAGTTCAAAGTTCACATCATGGCAGTAAAAGCACTAAAATTTTCAAATTCTTTAAAAGCATGGTCATCGTATTAAACTGAATATATATTTCACTTTGCTCTTAAAGAGACAATTTAGAATGATTCAAAAGAGAGTATGTAAAAAAGTTATGATTGAGTAACCTACATGTTGCAAATTGTASAACAACTTCTGACCGGATTCACAAACTAACCACTACTGAAAGGGCTAAAACCAACATGGCCCTAAACCTACTACATCKCACACATTTCAAGGCCAATCATGTGGAAACTGTTTTATAAATCTTTACACTGCTGGCACTTTCTAATTACACCGCTTTTCATATAAAACTGTATGGATACTTGTGCAAGTGCAAATAGAGGCAGCAGCACTCACAACACCTCTAGTGCAACTGGAAGTGGAGTAAGGGTACTTCCTATAGGAATAATCAGGTTGTGTACAAATGACAGCAATGCGAAGGTCAATAAAATAGTTTTTGCATAAACAGCTGTGACATTTTTGAGACTATAGCAATCCACTTTGGTCTTGACCCACCTCAGACCAACTGTTAACTCATCAATCCCATCAGATTTAAGGTGTTTCCCAAAAGTGGCATTGTTAAAATAGTTATCTGCAACAGATAAGATGTTATTTGTTCTTATGTTGTCAACAGAACAGCTCAAAGCAAGCAGTTTGTTCTTAATTTAATACTTTTCTAACTTATTTTCTGAAATAATTGTATCTATTTGTGTTTACCTTTGACTTTTTTAAGCCGATCAATGCTTTTTTTAATGTTTGTTTTATTTTAAGATCTTTGATAGCATTTGTCCTACTGAAATATTCCAGGTTTGAGCAATTTACAACGTAAAGCATAATACTTGTATGYAAATATGATGCCAGGTGATAGTTGAGTATTAAAACAATGCAGTAAAAGGTATGTAGAATTTGTATTTAAAGGCCCCACCTCCACTGATATAAAACATTAATAGGCACTCATAATCAACCCAACTGCTTCTTTACATACAACGTACAAGTCAACACATTACTGAAGCTTGTGCAGTTTTAATGAAATTGCAGCAATAACTCTTTAAAAAAGACAATGAAATTAAACCAGGTGACAGAGAGCAATATACTTTACAAAATAAAAACACGACAACTGTTAAAACATGCTGAATAGTCAAAAAGGAAAAAAAAAGTTTCAGGAAAGAGGTCTTCTAAAAAAAACAAGTCAGTTTGTGCCTTAGACTTTTTTTTGTAAATGCCACAACAGAGCTGTACTTCATTGGCATGTTTCTGTGCCAGGGAGCTTTGCTTTCTTCATGGCTCTCATGAAATAGTACATTCAATGCTTTTAGTTGCCAATTAAACTCTCAGACTAGCTCTTCTGTCAGAGGAAATGTTGAAATGTATGAACATTTACAAATTAATGGCAACAAAAAGGCTGTAAGATCACAGTAAAAGTAAAAAAAAAATGAAAACATAAAACCCGACAAACTCTGGCAATTTTGTGCACAGACTGTGAGTCTTCAAGACTACTTCCTAAAAAGAAATGTCATTTGTTTTATGAATTTTATAAAGAGGTCAATCCAATTATTTTGTAAACCTTAAATGGAAATACTCTTAAGGTAGAAAACGTGTACACTGTATCACTGTGAAGCCTGTACCATGTTCATTTGGCATTACAGATTTATGGGTTTAACATAGCATTAAGATCCAAGTGCTAGCTGATAAAGACCAAATTGTCCTAAGGCAAAGTCACAGAGTGTGATATCCAGTGGTGTTCTCTTTTAAGTGCATTATTTGATGAAAGAGCAGGGTTATCAAAACCTAAAGCTAATAATTTTTTTCACACAATAAAACATTGTTTGGTGTCTTTTTTTTCAAACTAGTAAAACAGGTGCTGACATTTTGATGCCTTTGTGAATTTGTCTTTCACAGATAAACAAACTGAGGTAGAAAGGAACTTAGACTGAAAATAATCCTTAGGTTTCATTAATGATAAAACAGCAGCAGGATGGAGCCAAAAGGCTCGGGGCAGCTGTCTTCGTCAACCTCAAGATGTTTGTCTGCACCTTTCAAAGTTATCTTTGCACTGTACCATGACAAACTGAATAGTTTTGTCTGAAAGCAGGAGGATTAAACAGCAGGATCATTGTATTTGATGTAAACGAAGGTCCTCTTTCAAACTTTGCTTGGTCTCTCTCTCCATGGGAAGTGCCTTCAGGCGTGACCAATCATGGAGGCTCCATCCCACCAAGTCTGTCATTGACAAACCAATCACGTGCTTGGTATGGGTTGCCCTAACTGCCCCTGCCCTACACCTGGCTTCCTTGCATGGTGAAGGCATTTCCCAAATGTGTGCTCGCACTGCAGGACTGTAGAGATCCAGATGTGATTACCACTGGCAACTTGCTGGGAGTGGTGGTAATGAGAAAAGCCCTGACAAAGATGCTTCGTTACCAGGCAGGGGAGACATTTTTAAGAGGGGTGGGTGGATATTATGCACAATTGTCTTGTCTATCATGCATTTCTGAGAAATCCTTGAATCTCCTGTGGTAGTCATTTGGAGCTTGCTGGTACAAAGCACCGCCTATTTTCACAAAGCTCCTTCTGCACATCTATCAAGCTTTAATACTATCCCTCAATGTCAGTCTTTTTTGGATTAAAAATTGTCTTAATTGGGGAAATGTATTTTTGAATGCCAAGGAGACTACCCTCTTYTTACAACACCTGAGGATGACACAGTTCATCAAAAATGGTTGGACCTTTCTMCTAGGAAAGATTGTAATGGGCAGGAAGCATTGTTGCAATTGATGCACTGACGTGGGACTGYCTGAAACAGTAAAATGTTCTTAAAGAGACAGAGGTCAATGCCAAGGTGTTTCGATATGGCTACATATATGTAAAGTTAAATTCATTTCTGATATATTCAGCATTTTTATAWCAACTGAATGTACCATAGTTACTTGATTGTGGTACAGAATTAAACTATGTGCCTATAATACATAATACCCCCTAAAAATGATTGAAGAACAGGACCTGCACCCCAAGGTTTTGTCATTTTCAAATCAATTATCTGGAATAATGGGAGTTTTTGGATCTGTCAAACACAATACCACAGAAGTGTCATGGTTTAGTCAGAAGAAACAATACAATAATGGTAGCATATATAAACCAGCAGTGGTGCACTTGCTTGGTGACACTGCACAAACTGGCCCACAGCCTGATAATGCTGAGAAGTGTGTGTCTGCTATCATTATGCGTGGTGCACATTCGCTGCATGCTGAACCACAGGGCAGATTTGCTCCCCAGGGGGAATCCACTCTATTGGGAGTGGACACTCAACCCCAAAGTAGTCCACCAGGTGTGGGAGGAATATAGTCAGGCATCTGTAAATCTTTTTGCATCACACAAAAATGAACAGTGCCCTTTGGTTATATYAACGAAAACCATTTTCAGAGTAGAAGGATTGGTGCATCCATGGATGGCCAGACTTTTAAATGTATTCTCACTTCTCAGCTCRTTGTGGATATTTTAGGTTGAGGTAGTGTTTATGCTTTAGAGCATGCAATCTGGGAGTTGGCTATGTCACCTATAGTGGGATATCTCCTGAGTGAGGTTTTACAGAGGTTACCAGGATAATGTGGTTCTCTGAAAACTGTGTAGTTCATCACACTGCCCTATTTGACTGGTCATATGGAAGAAATGCACATGAGAATGCCAGGTGTATGGCAGAGGCGTGTAGAGAAGGGGATGGCACTGCATGCCAAGCACCTGATTGGTCTGTCAGTGAAGGACTTGATAGTAGTGAAGCTTCCATGACTGGTCACATCTGAAGTTGCTCTCCATAGTGAGATACCTCACTCAGTTTACAGAAAGCCTGGGTTACCCTGGTAACTAAAAGTTTTCCATTTTCTAGCCAGAAGCAAAAAAAATAATAAATAAATAAATAAATAAAAAAGAACAATTAACAGAGGAATTTCTCAAGGCAGCAAATCAAACAATCAGCACAATGACTTTTTTGTTCAAAAGCAAATCTCAGATGAAGGTACACRTTTTGTTTTAAAGACGTTTAAAAGTAGGGAATCCAAAACATACTGATTTTAGGACTTGCAAATAAACCTTACCCTCATACATTCATAGTAAGAATCTTCTCATTTTGAGCTTTTTGAGGTATTATMAAGTCATTTGTGGGTTTTTTGAGAGATGCAATGTCAAATGTAAGCCAAATGTTTCCAGTTTCTGAGGTACTGTCATCATCACATTCCTGAGATTTCTAATTGAAAACAGAAAAAAAAGGCAAAACTTTACACTTAATTATTGATAATTAGTGTAACACAATTTGAACAGGAGTGACATTATTATGTATCACTTTGTTGTTTTGTCTTTAAATTGACCAAATGTATATTTGATTAAAAAATAAAAATCATTTTAGGCAAAGAAAAAGTGAGCAACTTTGTTTGGTTGTGATGGGATAATTTACATACACCTAAAACCTGTGAAAGGTAACAAAACTTTAGAAAAGTGATGTCAATTAATTTAGTTCAGCTCAAATTAACCACAACGGTTCACAGAGAGCACAAAACAGACACAGCAGAAAAAACACTGATCCAATAAAAAACAAAACATTTTTGTCACATTTTAAAGCTTTTTTTATATTAGCACATGTTACCAATGAAGATTGTGTGGCAAAAATAAAAATAAAAATAAAAATCAAACAGCACCATATCAGGCACTTGATAGCAACTAAATCTCCAAAACAGCAGAATATATATATTTATTTGTATATATATATTTATATACAAAAATGGGGGCATCCTTTGAAGTTACTTTATGAAAATGGGGCTTCAGATAAATAAAATGTGTTAAACTGATTTTTGACATTGTTAAGTTTGTGCGATGTCTTCTGTCTGAAGCCTATAAGGATATTCCCAATGCTCTACATAGTATGTGTGTGTATGTGCTTTTTTGTTTGTTGAACAACCAAACACTGATTTGTATTTAACAAAGGATTTTAGAGAAATTGTATTTGATGGATCCCTTTCATTGGCTACAACCAAACATTTTATTCCACTCAGTGTACACATCAAGCTCTTTTTGTGATAAGCTGGGCTGGAATTTGCAAAATACATTGTCAAAGTCTTGGTATGAGACCAGTCTCATCTGACTGGGGTGGATGCTAGAAAGGTCAGCTGCAGGAATGCCATGAAGAGAACCAACCAGAGCCTCTTGACACAGCTGGGCCACATCCAGCCCTGAAAACCCCTCTGTCCTCTGAACTAATAGTGAAATCTCTTTGTCACTAAGACAATAGTTGTGCTGGGAGAGCACCTGACTGATTATCTGATGGCGTGCAGTCCCGTCAGGCAAGGGGATGAGCAATCTCTTAGTAAAGTATCTTCGTAGCGTCTCTGGGATCTCTTCCGGCTTACTGGTGGAGCAGACCACGAGAACGTGGTCCTCAGCAGAGGACAGAATACTATCGAGCTGTATGAGGAGCTCAGCCTTGAGGTGATTCACTGGGCTCTCCTCAGAGAGCTGGGCGGACAGCAGCAGATCCACATCACTGACAAACACTACAGCTGGTTGGCGACATCGAGCTACGAGAAAAGAAGCTTGAATGATCTTGTCCCCTTCCCCAAGCCACTTAGTCACAAGTGCCGAACTGCTTAATCGCAAGAAGGCAGCCCCCAGCTGGCTGGCCATGCAGCGAGCCAGCAGTGTTCTACCAGTTCCCTGAGGTCCGAATAAAAGGAGGCTCCGAGGTAATGTGGCAAGTCCACTAAACATATCAGGCCTTAAAATGGGCCACAGTATCTCCTCTTTGATAGCTGCTTTGGCCATATCCAGACCTGCAATGTCACACCAGTCCACCGGAGAGCCCTGCTGAAGGATCTCTGAATTCACCATTTCCACCAGGCTGGAATCACTGTTCTTTAACTGTTCCTCTGCAGCGTGAGTGGACGAGGTAGCTGTAGCTAAATCAGCGCCTGGCAAGGAGTGGGAGAGGTGCTGTCTGTGTTCTTCAGTCTGCTCACTCATAATGGGAGACCCAAATTTACTGTAGGGCTCAGCAGTTCTTAGCTCCCCTGCAGAACTTTTGGTTGATCCGTAGGATGGGGGACTCAGTGCTCTGCCAGAGTGAACGTTAAATTTTCTTTGCTGATCAGACGACATTGACTGTTTGGTTGGCTTGAAGGCTAAAGAGGATGGTTCTGTGTTTCTTTCAAAGCCACTGCCCCTGTTTGAGTCTGAGACGCTGCTGTCTGCCACTCTGTACATCGGGCTGTGTGAGGAGTGCTGTTGGTTGTAGTTGAAATTACCATAGTTTGAGTCCACATCACCATGACCACTCATGTAGAAAGCTTTTCGTTTTAATGAGTTGGATGTACTGCCATTTAAAGGTGTAGGTGCAATCGGTGTGTGATTGTGGGACTGGTAGCTGTAGGGAGGTATTGGAGTAGGAGCTGCGATGCCAGACGGCAGATAAGCAGAAGGGGGCGGTGCTCCCCCAGAACTATAACCAGGACCCACTGCAGTCTGYGAAGCATACCCTGTAGGAGGATAACCGTAGTTGGGAATGTTTGGGGAACCACCATTATAGCTCGGCACTAAAGCAGGGGGAGGTGGCGGGGGTTGTAAAAGCCCCGCACTCTGCAGTGGTGAGGGGTGCGGAGAGGGGAGGGCTGGTGTGCTCTGACTGCTGTAGCTAGAATGCAGGTAGGAGCCGTTGTAACTGGCAGTGTATTCCTGAGAGGGGATGCCCGAGTGGAGAGTGGTGGCTGGGTGACTCCCACAGTTGCTGCTGGAGTAGCTTGGCTCAGACAAGCTGCTGGCCACCCCCGGGGAGCTTCCTATGCTAGCCGACGTGTCTGTAGGGGGGAGGGCAGCTGTCATTCCAGCTTTGCTCACAGATATAACATCTGGAGCACAGTTCATTGGGTAAATCCCCTCCTGCCAGGAGTCATTCTCTGACTTCCGTCCATTCATGAGTCCAGTGGTGCTATCGGAGTAGGAGCACAGCAGGGCTCTTTCATTTGGGCCTTCTAGGATCCCGGAGTACTTCTCTGCATATTTCTTGAGCAGATTGGATGCAGTCAGTGCAGAGATGTCATCGTTTGCCCACGCATACTGGTATGTTCGCTGTAAGTGCCCCCGGTAGGCCTCCACTTTGTGTGCTGGTGAACGGGTAGTGGATGAGATGTCAAAGTGTTGTTCTGCCCATTGTGTATGCTCAGGGGTCCACTGCATCTTTATACCTAGATATTATGCAAAAAAGAGAAAAATTTTAAAATTAGCGTGCAACTATTATTTATAAGCATTTAAAAGTAGTATCCTAGTATACATACAGTATATGTTTCATGACAACTAATAAGTAGGGGAAAAAAACACATATATTATCTGTTTGTCTACATGAATGGATGGCATTTCAAAMAGACAAAAACAGTTTGCTTTGTCTCTTTAAAAGAAATCACTAACGACATCTGCATGTGATGGTCAGTATGAGAAAATGGGACCCAACACCTGGTTACCATGCTGTAATTCACCCAATGCAGAGCAGAATGACACAGACATTGCAGGTCAGTCTATAATCCAACTCTCATCTGTGGCATTCTGAGACAGTTTCAAATCTGCTTGGAGGAGAGCAGCAAAGCAATCTTCCTTGGCAGCGCTCTGTTGCTTTCATCACACAAAGCCCTCGGCCCAGCATGAATTACATCCACATCGAGTCTGCCTACTGCTTCCTAGCCGACAGAGTGAAGGGGGGAAAAACATGCTTCACTTGTCTTTTCCTCCACAGCCTTGCTCTGCCTCTCTGTGAGGCCTTAAGGGCTTGAATGACAGAAATAATCAAGATAAATCCTAAAGTCAATCTGCAAACAAATTTTTTTTCCTCATAATCTTTTACGCTGGGATTATTAGAGATTGTACTGTACCAAATTAGAATGGAGGCTATTAAGGATTAGGGCTCAAAACAATCTGAGACAGAGTATCATCTTTCAAAAAATTAGTCTGAAAAATAGATACTCATATTTGTGAGATGACACATCTATTTATATGTTTGCTGCTTGAAAAAGAGTATACGCCTGGTTTTGTWTAGCTGAAACTGCACTGCCATACTTCATACTTCAGTAGGTTAAGTCRATATCAGAGGACTTGGATGGCAAGCAGCTACTGTCCAGAGGCAGATTACAAACGCAATGKTTGTCTGTGGATTCCCTTCTGACTCCCTCCCAGCCATTGCCAACTCGCCACACTAGACACCAGCAGCTAATTAGCAGGATGATGCTGCACTAATTGTGTTAATTTACAAGGTTTTAGTCAAAGAGATCTGTGCTATGCCTCACATGGTTGTCAAGCGTTCGAGCTAATGATTAAAAAAAGCTTGAGGAAAAAATGCCTAAGGAAAATTAAATAGCTGAAACTCACATTATATATATATATATATA